TTTAAAAATGCAGTTTTAAATCTAAATGCAGTTACAATGATCACTTATATTTATATTGTGTTTATTGTATTCTAGAAATTGTTGCATACTGCCTAAAGAGCATTGGCTGTTGTGTGATATAGAAATAAAATGAACATTAACAACAAACAACCCAGGTGATTCTTCTGAACTAATAGTTATGTTTAGATCTTGTTTCTTTTTAACAAATACATGAACTGTCTGTGGAAGAGACTTGTGTGTGTCACTGAAATAGAACAGCCACAATACATTTCTGCCAACATTAAAAGATCCCTTAGCTGCTTGATTCTTGGAAAGTGAATACGCTTGCATTCGTGTTCAGAGAGGAAATTGGTTAACTTGTTCATATGGTTTATGGTATTGATTGTAATATCTATTGGGCTCTGGTTTTGCATTCCCTCTTTTTGATGGTAGGCTTCTTTAGTGTGTGTTTGGCTTTTTTGGTCACTTTAAAACTTTAAAAAATAGCAAGCAGAAATGTTTGGAGACTGCCAAAAGTTTTATTAAATTGTGGGTTTGTATGACAGCACAATTGCCTCTACTGTAAAATGCATTACACATGTTGCATTTCCATTTTCTAGTGAGGTTTGCTCCAAGACAAGTTCAAGTTTTGGTTTTGGTCATATTCCTTTCCCATCTCTGTTTGCCCTGGTTCTTTTTTTCCTCCCTGTTAGGTTGATCTTGGAGGTGGAAATGAAATAGTTATTTCTTACATTACTCACTGATGTGTTGCCTCTAAAGAACAAGACTGAAAAGCTGAAAATAAAAGGACATAGGTGATACATATTTAATGTTTATGTTTGCCACTTGATGCATGATCTTAGCTTTCCTTTAGTAGCACTCATTTATCTTTTCTTGTTCTCTTCTCATTTAAAAAAACTACACTTGTGAACTGAATTTTTAGTAATCTGTTTAAAATGTACTATTATAACATGAATTGAAGGCCATTTTAGTGTGCCAATATTTTAATGTAAAGCATTCAACATCTATCAGCATAATATCCTGCCTTTATCACCTCATTGAATTTGCTAAAGGAATGCTGATAGTAATTTGCACAGCATCATTTAATCTCCTTTGTCAAATTATGAAGTTGTTATTGATTTCCAGCTGTTGGTTAGCTTCACAGAATTTTTGCATTTTAAGGTTTTTCCTAAGGATTTTCACGCTATATTACTAATTGCTAGAGCTGTCAGTTAGGAATAGATATCTTGAAATGGGGAACAAATACATTTCCCTTAAACCTCATGGTCTGTAATCTATTTCAAACATTTTTTTCTATCCTAGGGTACAATTAAATAGTGACTATAACTGGTAATAATCAGTAAATTAAAGCATGTAAAACTCTTAAGTTGCTTGCAGCTTTTGGTAAAATGGTAGGGTAGACTAAAAATGCTTATTTCAGGGACATAATTGTGCTTCCTGCCCTGTTGTTCTTTAGGACCTTGGGTCCTGAAACTATGGCCTGCGGACTGGATCCGGCCCTCCATGCCCATTTATCTGGCCTGCCTCAGAGGTTTTGGACTTGCCGTGCACACATCTGGTGGCGGCTTGCTTGAGCGGAGATCGTTTTGGACTCGCTCAGAGAAAACGATCTCTGTGAGAGCAAGCCAGCGCCTCGCCATGCACACACCCAGCAGCGGCTTACTTGCACAGAGATCGTTTTGGACTTGCTCGGAGAAAATGATCTCCGCGCGAACAATCTGCTACCTCAACCCGCACGTCCCCCCACCCCTGCCCCCTCACCGGCCTGCGCCCTCCCGCCAGCACCACCTTGGCGGCCCGCGCCCACCGCTCGCACCTTTCAACTGGCCCCCTGTTGAAAAAAATTGAGGACCCCTGTTTAAGACCATGCCCTATCTTTTATAATTGCAAATAAGTTATTTATTTTACTCTATGAATTCCTGTGATACAATGTAACACAAAAAAAGGCCTACTCAGAATGATATCTGTTCAGCTAAAATATCATAGCTAAATGCTTTCTATCTTGCAGTTGTTTTCCACAGAGTTTGCATCTTTAATAGTAAATTTTAATTAGAAAAAGTGTATGCCTGTGTATCTGAAAATTGCTTTGACTTGCAAACCAATGGAAATATTTATTTATTTTATATAAAAAATGTGTAGGCCGTCCATTACTGTCGTCTCTGGAAGGCTTACAACTTTATTTCAATCTTCGATAAAATAAGTTAACTATTCCACACTGAGCATTATTTAAAATAAATTAAATAAGTCTTACACAATTAAAATTACTATACGTTAAAATATTGGCCAAATAAAAAGGTCTTGACCTGGCACTGAAAAACATATAATGACAGCGCCAGGTGGACCTCTCTAGGGAGTGCATTCCATAGTCAGGGTGCCACCACAGAGAAGGCCCTCCTCCGAGTACTCTGGCTCCTGACCTCTTTCAAAGACGGTTCCCGGAGGAGGGCCTCTGCTGCTGATCTTAGGGGGCGGGAGGGCATGTAGGGAAAAAGGCGTTCCTTTAGGTATCCTGGTCCCAAGCCGTTTAGGGCTTTATAGGTAATAACCAACACCTTGAATTGAACCCGAACTTCAATGGGAAGCCAACGGAGCTGATAGAGGACTGGAGTTATATGAGAATAACGACCAGTCCCTGACAGCATCCTGGCAGCTCTATTTCGCACCATCTGAAGTATCCAGACTGTCTTCAAGGGCAGCCTCATGTAGAGCGCATTACAGTAATCCAAGTGGGAAGTAACCAGTGCGTGTGTCACTGTTGCTAGGCAGTTCTCCAGGTAAGGACGCAGCTGATAGATTAGCCAAAGCTGAAGGAAAGTGCTTCTCACCACTGCCGTCAATTGGGCTTCCAAGGACAGCTCTGAGTCGAGAAGCACTCCTAAGCTGTGGACCCTGTCCTTTAGTGCAACCCTGTCCAGGGCAGGGCCCATGTCACTTGCCTGGGAGCTCGAATCACCATCCAACAGGAGCTCCGTCTTATCTGGATTGAGCTTCAGTTTATTGGTCCTCATCACACTTCTGATTCTTCACCTGGGATTAAGGAATTGGGAACAGGCCACAGAACCCTGTGTACCTTTTCTTTATCCTATTCCATCTCCTGGGGAAATTTATGGCCTGACCCATACTAAGACTCACACTGGCATTGTCCTTAATTACCATTATTTTGACTTTATGAGATTGTTACAGTGAACTTAACTCTGGCTTCATAATGCATGTGAAACTTTTTCTTCTGTATCAGTGCTTACAGGGACCCTTAAGCCAGAGATTTCAAAATATTTTTGGGCCATACTGATCCAAACTGGTGTTCATCCTTATTCATATTATTTGAGCCTTCCTTGAAGTTAATAAAATATGACTCCTTATTCTGTCTTTCTTCACTAATGAAACAGTTCCTCCCTCACGCTGAAGGGATACAAGGAAAGGGGTTTTCTGATGCTGAAGTGGTAGATTCTTGAGATGCTCTTGAAATTGTAGCAGACATAGCAAGCTGTTGCAGATATAATACTAAACTAGAGTTTGATATTGTGTGCATGACCCTGCCTTCCTTTCTGTTCCACTGTAAAAAAGAGATCAGAAGCATTTGCTTCCATTTATAACTAACCATTGTTTCTTGTTAAGTCTGACCTGCAAATTGTATAATAGAGTTTATATTCAAATAAAGCAGGGTCCTAAATCATGATCTCTGGGATTTTAGAAGTACTTTTGCTTAATCTTTGCTTTGAAATTATCAAGGGTCAGAATCCTTCTCCATGAATGAGATCACCCATTCAATTAAGGAGAGAGTGAGGGGTATTCTAAAACTGCATTCTAAGGCTTTATTCTAATACTCAGTTCTGGGCAAATTTGACCATTATATGATAATTGCTCTGAACACTGAACTTCCGTTTGCATTTAAACAGCTTTCAGACTACTCTGGCAAAGATTCATGTATGCCTTACTGTTTCACTGTTTCTGTCTTAAACGAACATTGTTGCCCAATAGACAGAATTGTCTTCAGCTTATCAACCAAGAATTTACTATCCGCCACCTGTGTTTTTCAAATGCCAGTTAAAAGTACATGATGAACTCCCGGCTTTCAGTTGGAGGGTGAAATTGTGTTGTACTAGGCAAAAATCTGTAGGAAGAGCATGTTGACCTCCCTTAATCGTTTTCTTCAGACCATCAAAAATATGTTCTTTACTTAGATGAACTAAATACAAGATCTTTAGACCTCTAGTCTAGGTAGCAGAATGAATGAGAATAAAACATGATAAAAAAATAGTCAGGATATTCTGCTGACCTTGAGTATTGAGTATAGCTAGAAGACAAGGCAGTATTACCAGTGAGGCTCAACTTAATAGCAATCAAATGCCAGCCTCCTTTTTCAAGAGAGTTTATCTCAATAACTTTACATAATTACAAGTTAGTTTTGGGATCTGATAAGTAATGTGCACCTGGCTCCCATTCCAATCATTACCATCACTGGTATGGCTGCTTCTATCTGTTGAATAGGGTATCAGCAGTATAAATAAGTAAATGCTAAGATCCTGATCAGTGTTTCAAGAAGAGAGGATGGCTGAACTATACATTTCAGATTCAGCAAAGTTTTAAATCTTGCAAGTCAGGGAAGTTTGAGGCTGACTGTATTACAGCACTTAAATTGTTCAATATGCTAGGCTAATCTATGAACTCCAATTCATCACCACAGAACTGCTTTCATTTCCAGCAATGCTTGCTCAGATGGGAGTCTCATTGGCCCAAATTAATTAGGCTAGCTTCCAATCTTGGTGATTCTTTCTTCACCTATAATCCTAACATTCTGGAGGCCTCTGAGAAGGATTGTGGCCTCCTTTAACTATCAAGAACAAGTTCTGATTATAATTTGTTTGGCAGACATGCTCTAATTGAGCATCAGGAACTGTAGATGACTTTCTTAGTGCTCTGCTGCTGCTTGGTAGCATATATAGTTACTCTACTGAAAGTTTTCAGACTATATTGATACCACTACTTTTTATATTCTGTAGGGCACCACCTGAATGGGTCTGATCATTGTGAAAAGGACCTACGACTCCTGCTTTCAAAGGAGCTACAAGGAGGTTTGCTGCAGAAAGGTGGGTATAAGTGTGTTCCATATGTAGAGTGAACACTAATAAAAAGGGAAAACATAAAATGCAAAAACAAAAAGTTGCAGTTGACGGAAATTATTTGGCAGCTAATGCCTGAAAAGGAAGGCATGTTTCAGTGGGAATGATCTGTCAAACTGTAAAATGTGTCCATAATTCAAATTGTCTCTCATATATTTTTGTTATTATGAATAGTTCTTGAAATTACAAGTAGTTGACTTGTTTCTTCAGGCTTCAAAATAGCTTATGCCATATTTTAGAATTGTCTGTTTAATTGTGAAAATTGTAATAGTCATTTACAATTCACCCAATAGGTTCAACTACTTATTACTTGAAGTTAACTTCACTAATGGCATGGTTCTTTGGCCTCTGGATACTGTCTCAAGAGTCATACTTCCAAGGTTCTGTGAGGCCAAAGGCTGAACCCTGGCTCCGTCTCCCTTACATGCCTTGGAGAAAAGGAAAAGCGGTATGACAAAGAGGAGAGGAGACTGGGGCCATAGCCATAGAGCACCCCAACCTAGTTTCCTTACCCTCTCTACCAGTTCATCTAGAAAGGTGAAAATAGCATTCTAGATGAAACATAAAGCATGAGGTGCAGCTGCAGTGAAAATTGCTGCCATATCTTGCTTCATGCAGTGCGTCAAGGGTGGTGACATTAGATTGTGCCCTAAGTAAACCAGTACTTCTAATACTAACATTAAGCCCCCCACCCTCCAATAATTGACATGGACATTTTCTTGCATGTAATTAAGGCTTTTAGTTAACACAAGAGGGCTGCATCACTGCAAAATATAGAATGACAAATATTGCTTTTATACTTTATAGTCTAAACCTAGGGAATTCTTAGAAAGGGACAGATCCAGAGTGCCCCTCTGTTCATGAAAGACACAGAAATCTAGTTGAAGCTCCCATTGTAGGAAGGAGGATTTTCTCCCCAATTCTCCTTTTTCTCTTTGTCCTTCCCTGCCAAGTCCCACAGGGTTTCAGAGGGTCCCACATCACTACAGGGCAAGTTTTCAGCATTCAGAGAAGAGAAAAAGAAACAAAGAGTTCAGAGAAAGAAAATGGCAAAAATCAAATCTTTCTTTCCAGTAGGAGCATCATGTGAGGATTGTTCTGTTCATTGGAATTCTTGATTCAAGTCAGTACATTTTAACAGGTATTTAAATCAGATCTATGGGCTAATTATGCCCCCCTCCACCAGGGGGAGGAGGAGGAGTAATAGGGGGAGTGCAAACCCCTCCAGAACAGGGTGATCACCATATGAACTATCCTACAAGCACTCTAGGCCATATGGTCTGGACTAAGTCTTTCTCCCTCCTTGCTCTTTTTAGTCTATTTCTGTCTACCAGCCCTATCTCGTAGAGCAGGAGAATACAAGGCATTTTAGTAGTCATTGAGTAACAGGCTCATGTAACATTGCTGGCTGGTTGTTACAGGCAGGGAAACACAGGTCACAAGCATCACTGTGTACTTCTGGATATATGGAGAGGAGGAGAAACTGAGTTGATCTGCACAGATGTACTCCCATCAACACCCTCACTGATCTAGTTGTGTAGGACATAGATTTTCTGGGAGTGTGGGAGATCAGATGCATAATTTGAAGGCCTTCTGAAATTCATCATTGTCACAAGATGCATAAATAACCTTAGTGGCTCAGAGTGCGTATTGTCAGCCATGGCTGATTTACTTGCTACTTCTCTAAGAAGGAGTAGCCCTGTTACTGTTGTGCTTTCTCGTCTCTCACTGGGATTGCTGTAATGCATTATAAGGCCTGTCTTTGAAAATCACCTGGAAGTTTCTGTTAGTTTGAAACAGCCAAATAAGTGATACTCTTCAGTACAACCATATTATACTAGTAATTTGCCATAAGCACTGGACACCTATATGTTTCCAGGCCAGTTGAAAGTGCTGGTTTTAGCATTTAACAACTTGAAGGATTACCTGGTCCTATATCTGCTTATCCTAATGAAAAGATTATTGCCTGAAGCTCTCCTCCAGGCACCTCTGCCAATTGAGACAAGGAGAATAGCTACTGAAGAGAGGGCCTTTTTAGTAGTGGGACCAACTCCCACTACTGTAGAATGCCTGCTCCCCCCTGAGAGGCTTGGAAGTCAAGTGCATTATGATATTTTAGAATTAGGTGAAGTTCTTTTTTATTCTCCCAGGCATTTCAGAAACTCTTTTTAGTGCTCTTCATTCATTACACTGCTTTATTTTGCTGGTGGTTTTACTTTGACATTATGTGCTGCATTGTTTTATCTCTTGTTGCTGGTTTTATCCCTATTTTATTGTAGGCTGATTGTATTATGGTTTTAATAATTATTTATTGTTTTTCATTCTGTCTTTGCAATTTACTAGTACACTGCCCAGAGAATTCTGGTTATTGTAAATAAAATGTAGAAATTAATAGGGTACAGAGAGATTTGTATGGTGAAAGAAAAATAGCAGAGTAAGGGAGAGAGAGGGTGTGTAGCAGTGCAGAAGAGAACAGAAAGCATCCTATTTGGAATATAGAGAAAAAAGTGTTAACTGATGATGGGGAAAAAAGAGATGTAACCATTTTTTTCAACTTTTAATAAAACTGCCTAACAGTGGTACACCTAGGTAACTTTTGACTCTGGAATTCAATAGTATTTCTGGAGGGTGGGGCAGGGACTTTAGATGATCAAATGTATTACATCATTTGTAAAATACACAGCTAACTACTAATTCTCTGCACTTCAATTTCATGCTTTGCAATGGCTTCTGCATTTCCAGAAATAGACAAAATTAGTTCAGTTGCCCTGATAAAAGAAACAATAGCAGGTGTAGTTTCACATTTTAAGCTCAGTTAAATCATGGCACTGTAATAACTACAGGAATAAAATAAGATTTGCTTTTGCTTTTTTTGATTTAAAGCACATTTACCTGGGAATAAGTTTCATGCTGTGAAAAGGATAATATAGTTTAGAATAATGCCATGAGCATTATTAATCATATATTTGTCCAACCAGCTACCTCTGACAGTATTTTTTTAATAAGGCAAACAAATGATTCTTCAGTGACCAGTGTCCAGCCTGGTGACACTTGCCACTCTCTGGAAGGTCATTTGGAGGCCTCCTAGTTCTAGCTCTACCACTGCTGTCAAAGTGATCCCCAGTGTGATTTGAACTGTATGTTTCCTGTATAGGTTCAAGTTTGTCCTGGGATAAATAATTTCGTGATACAGGGAGCCTGCTCAGCAAACTTGATTCTATGTCACTTATTAATCAAAGTAAAAAATACTTCATCCCACACATTTCTTGAAAATATCTTGAGATTACTTTATATGGGCTGGTATTTTGTGGCTTTGTCAGTTGAAAATATGGTTTGTACTTTGTATTAGTTTGCATCATATTTTTATTTTAAAAAGGAATAATAAAAAGATAATACAAAATAACCACACAAAGCAGACTATTTAACAGACAGAATTCAGTGCTAATGCAAACTCTCCAGGCCTTTTATGGCCACTGCCCACCATTGTTGCTGCTGCATCTGTCTCTTGCCAACTCTATCCATCACCTTCCTCTCTTGTCCCATCTTCTCTGCACTCCACCTGCATGCCTACTGTGTCTGTCTCAGCTCTGCCTTGCCATGCTGTGACTAACCCAGTCCACTCACCCCTTTGGCATCACTTCTTCCTCCCTTTTGCCACTCTCTGAAGAGTTGTGTTGGCCAGAAAAGCAGCTTGTGTGGCTCTTTGGAGACTTAGCCAGCACCAAACACATGGCTCAAGTTGTCCTTCTTCGTAACTAAGCATTGTAGAAGACTGGCTCTTTAGAGATCTTGTCTGCAAAGCATTCTGGGAGGATCCACAAAGCAGGTGGTAGTAACAGCAGCAATAGGGTAGGGAGGGTGACTGGAGTCATGGGGTGACAGCCACACAGTAGTTGCAGTCATCTTGGGGCTGGCTCCAATTCCTTTCTTTCCTTAGCTAGCTTCATTCTAGCTTGTAATATCTTCTCACCTTGGAGTTTGTAATTAAGTTTGTAGATTATTAAAAAAAACTTTACAGTACTATTCCTAGTGTTGGTAATTTCTTACACTTGACCAATTAATCAAAGCTTCATCAAGGAACCCTCTGCCTCATGAAACTATGAAATAAAAAGACTTGGCAGTCACTGTGGATAATCAAGTTATTATGTTCAATGATGCAAGGGAGATGAAATCCATGTACAGGCTCTTCAAGCTGTTGCTACAGTTGTATTATTGTACATCTTTTCCAGAAACCTTGGCTTTGTAATGAAGATACCATGCCATGTAGGTGGTGAGAATCTGGAAATAGAGGCTTTGAGAGGGAGAACAAATACTGGACAATGTTAGACTGAATTCAATACATATGTATTGCCAGTATAAGCAAAGGTTAAACAAACATACATTCAAAGAGGTACTCTTATTTGGTCAAGAAGAGCAGTATTGATATTAAAAGGCAAAGGATAATCACACATAGTGAAACAGTTTATTCCATAGAATTTTACAAATGTCCCAATGCATTTCAAGCAACAGTGGTTCTTCATTAAGGGAAAATTTGATGAGTGTTCACTATTAGGCTACATTGAAAATGCTTGTTGACAGCTCAAAGATCATTTGTAGATTTCTGGGCCTAAAAATGACTCGTTTAGTGGTTATTCCTTTAATTCCAGCTTGTTGCTTTTACATTTTAGCTTGATCTATCACTGATAAATAAGAAGCAGACAAAAAATCACTATACAATAGGTTATGAATGGAAATATTTCCATTCATAGTCCAGCATTTTAATAGTTGCATGTAGAATGTTGAAATATTTGGCATGTTTCTTTCAAGATATGAGCAAATCTTTTGGCTGTCCTGTAGTATAGATATTTTCTCTTGAAGTGATATCTTTGTTGTAGCATGGAATGGGATTAACAAAAATGAACTCTAATCTTTCTTTGATGTTTAATTTATATTGTGGAATTAGAGTTAGGTGCTAAAGTAGTTAGTGG